CGCTCAGCCAGTGAGCGGGAACCGGTCTCCACATGGGATCCGAACCCTTGGTGGGAGCGCCGCCACACTCCCAAGCGGCGCACTCTCCAGTGCGCCACCGGGCTGGCCCACACTTCAAGCATTTATTAAAAAAAAGGGATCCGAACCCTTGGCGGGAGCGCCGCCACACTCCCAAGCGGCGCACTCTCCAGTGCGCCTCCGGGCTGGCTCACACTTCAAGCATTTATTAAAAAAAACATCTGTTTTCCCATTTCTAAGATATACAGTTACACAACACACATACTCACTTATCTATGCTTCTGAGACTTGAATTTATGAAGAAAATAAAACACTCTCCCTATTATGGAGCCAAAGATGGGGATGTAAAAAATACTCTGTACTCTTTCAGTCAGATGGGTTCATTACCAGCTTGAAGAAATGCCAAATTTTATATGCATCATTTAAATTAAATTTACTAAAATATGTTTGCTAAAATTTGGTTGCTTTACACTAACAGTAAAAAAAATTATCATTACAATGTGTCTCCTGAAATGGAAATAGTTATCAGTATCTATGACCCCAATGAAAAATTCATAAAATCTAAAGTGGCCATGGTCCTCAGAAACTGAAATCCTTTAACTATCATTACGGTCAGTTCATAATATTTTAGACTTTGTATTTTACTGCCTAGTTATACAAAATTCAAACATGCTTCAATAATAGAAGTGGCTTGATCTTATCAAACAAGATTGAGACAGTGATTTTATTTTTTCTTAGTCAAATGAGCCAACACATATCTGTGATAATTCAGCATCATCTCCAACTACTATTGGGTATCTATAAGATAAATGCAAACAGAGGGCAACTATTATTTTTCAATTTCATATTACAGAAGTTGACTTCAATTTCTTAAGGCTTATGATTTTCATCATTTTACTCAGAAATTAGAGAACTTATTTATTAGTACTTCCCCCCAAGTTGGCTTTTCTATTGCTATGAAATGCTGCAGCTGTAGATACTTTGTTGAGACAGAAATGCTGTCTAATCATCAAAAGGTGACCATCGAGCCCTAAGCCAAGGCTTCTGCCAGCCTATAAAGTGCTTTTGTACTAATTATAAAAAAGTGCTCCCTCGAGGGGGAAGATTACAAAAAGAAAAGCACTTCTTCCTCACCGATAATGAGTAAGGCTCACAGCTTGGTTAGCAGAGTTCTAGCTGGATTTCAGCCCCTCTTGCCCTACCTTTGAGCAATGCACAAACTGAATGTCTATTTGACAGCCCTGGTTAAAAACATACTGTTCTGCTTTCTTTTATATCAAATGATATTTAGATGTTTCAGTCATCAATAGTTACTTATTTCTAAGTAAGTAAATACTGGAATGTATTCTAAGAAAATTAGTTGTTATAACAAATTCCTTACAAGATTATATGTCTTAGTAAAAAGTACTTAGAGACAAGTATGAATAAAAATGTTATATTGCAATTAAAAAATATTTCACCTAGTTTATTCTTTTTATTTATTTGGCACTCTTCTTTTGGTGTCAGAAGTTTAAAAAGAAAAATAAGGCAAAATTTCTGTTCAGTTTCATGCCAGGGAATATGGAGAAAGGGGACGGTTTACACTTTCACTGTGTATTCACTAAAGTTCTAACTAAATCACTAAATGCTGATAAGTTCTAAACATTAGAAAGTATGAAATATGTACTGATTCAAATGGCTGAGAGAATTAAAAAGATAAGACATACATATAAAAATGAAAAACTTTTTGTATAACCCAACCAATTTACAATTAAAACTAAATTTTAAATTATAAAAGTTTATAAAAGTCATTCATATGAATTTTATGGCTGAGAAAATTTAATTTAAGGATATGGATTTAAGTAAATAGAAAAGCATAATACATTGTATAGGACACTGTGGTAATAATAAATTATTAGAAAATTAAAATAAACTGTTTAAAAAGATGAAGCTCCGAATGAAAACATGAGCAAAAGAAGAATGCCCTTATAAAATCTCTTCAGCAATATTTTCCTTTACCAATGGAAATTTTATAAAGTTAAATAAGGTTGAAAGAACAATTTTATTTAAAAAATTAATAACTGTACTCTTAGGAGTTGAACATTCCAATTTAGAAGGTTTAAATATTTAAAATGGAAACATGCCAGCATTTAAAATGCTCATGTTTATAGTTAGCAATTTTATTTCAGAACTGGTTATCTTTCTGTTATTTTTGTTACCAAAAAAACTTGGAAATAAGATCAAGAGATCACAAAATGTACTTTTGATATTACGGTGTCATACAGTTTAACAAGACCACCCAAGGATTATTTAATTATCTAGGAAAATGTAACTTTGCTTGACTTTGCTATTTATTGTTAATTAAAGACTGATTCTAAAATGATATATTAAGTTACAGATCTTGTCTGCTAGTTATGCAAATAATTTCTGTCTGGGAGAAAAGATAACCTCAACGTTATGATTTTTATTGTGCTATAGGATATTAAGAGTTGTGTATCTAACCTAGCCATCTTATTCTGGCATTCCTTTTCCAATGCCTATAAATACCCAGTCCCTCAAAACACTCTTTGAACCAGCTTTATCATTTTACTGGTTTCCTCATTAGTGAGTTACTAAGTATTTATAGTCATATGAATCATATCTTAATATTTTTGAAAATTTTATTCTGATACAGTAGGGCACATTATTTAAAACCAACTCTGTGTAGCTTTGAGAATTATGTAGCAATTACCTTAATTTTTATATTAGTATTAAATAAGTATTTATAGTCATATGAATCATATCTTAATATTTTTGAAAATTTTATTCTGATACAGTACGGCACATTATTTAAAACCAACTCTGTGTAGCTTTGAGAATTATGTAGCAATTACCTTAATTTTTATATTAGTATTAAATACATTTTTTTTTTTTTGTCTTTTTTCCGTGTCCGGCAACGGATCGCAACCCTCAGTGTTGCCCCCGTACCGGACCGGGACCGGCAACGGGATCGCAGCTCTCAGTGTTGCTCCCGCGCCTCGCTCAGCCAGTGAGCAGGAACCGGTCTGTATGTGGGATCCGAACCCTCGGCAGGAGTGCCGCCGCGCTTCTCAAGCGGCGCACTATAGCAGTGCACCACTGGGCCGGCCCTTAAATACATTTTTTAATCAAATAGTTATAAAAGGTTGATTTCTCCAAGATCCACGAATCAAACGCAAATCAAATGATTAGATATTATTCCTCTCGGTCAGTTTAGTAAGGATCTTTTCTGACACAAACAAGAATCTGTAACAGATTTCAATTTCATGGAGTTAAAATACAATGTGAATGCAAACAATTCAGGCCTAAAGGAATCCAGGAAGGAGGCTACACCTGACCAAACCAAATTAGAAATACTGCCTTTGAACAACCTCATAAATTCACAGCAATAAGCAATCCTTAAAGGCCTAAATGTCTGGAGAACAATTACTAAAAATAATCAGAATTCTAGAATAGCTAAGGAAAATACCTCCTTTGTTCCAACATTTTTAAAAAAATTTTTGTCTTTTTTGTGACAGGTAAGGGGATTGCAACCCTTGGCTTGGTGTTGCCCGCACCGCGCTCCACCGGCCATCCCT